TTTCCAGCCCAGGTCCAAACACCCCGAGTGCCAGCTCCTTGCCTCTACCTCCTCCTCCTTTCACCTCGAGGTAATGCGGGTGGGACAGGCCAGGACACATGCATTTGTCATTTCTTTAGCACCAATTTATAATGAGCAAACAATGTGTAAATTGTGATAATTCCTCATCTAGAGGTGAGGAAGTGGAGGCTAAGTTGTAATGGGCTCTGGACCACTGTTAAAGGCAGGAGGCAGGATTCAAGTCATGACAACAAACTTCTGCTCTTGCCATGCTGACTCTGTGTGCTGTTGTGTTTTGCTTTTGCTTATTTGTTATTCTATTATTATTATTATTACATAGCAGGATAATCATTTTGAAAATAAAGAAATTGTCAATTTCGGTATGCTTCCTATTCTCATACACACTTTAAGGGTATTTGATCTTCTCCAGACCCAGAGAGGTGAACATTATTTTTTGCACTTTCATGCCAGATGGCTGAGGTTCAAAGTGTGAATGTCCCTCATCCAGAGTCCTGAAAATGCTATGTCTGTGATGGACAGAACATGGATTGAGAGAGACTCACTCTAGTTAAAAACACTCGGCTCGTTCCTACACCAGACATCTGACACAGGTCCATGGCGCCTGCCCCCTAACCAATGCCCACAGCTCCATCCCCTGGACCACACTCCTTTCTCCATGTTTTATTAGAATTAGCCTGTATTTACTATTATTGATCACACAGGCTCAGAATGCTTACAAACTGTTTATTTAATAATCTCCTGTAGGGGTTTCCAGGATCTATCATCAAGCTTAATAATGTCCAGTCCCAGGATTCTGCTCTCTCTCCTTTTGAAACTTGGCATAATATTTGCCCTTCTTACCCAATGTTACTTTTTCTAAACTTCAGGAATTGTCAACAACTGTGGACATTTGCAAGTTAAATTAATATACTGTGATGTCATACCTTTGAGTCTAAAAAAATTAAGTATTTCAAAGTACAAGGTACTTATTCATAGGTACTTGACAACATGAGGCTAAAATATTCCCTGCTTTGTCTCATTTTTCCAAATAAGACTGATTGTATTTAACCATGATTCTGTTACATCCTTGTATACTTTTATTTCAAGTATAAATAGAAATATTATAACTTTTAGCATTTTTCAAAAACTTTAACTCACCTGTTCTCCCCCGGCCTCATGAAAGTATTTTCCCAATTTCATGGCATTTGTTTTATTAAATCCAGTTTATGTATGCTCTTTGTTGACTAAAATGTTCTTCCAAATTTGAAGCATATGAGAATATTTACTGTAGCAAACTTGGCATTCTAAAGTAAACAAAACAAAACAAAGCAAACCCTGGGATAAGGATAGAAAAGGATAGAACGAAGAATACGGGGAAGAGAGAGAAAGACAACATATAAATAATAAACTCACTATGCAGTCTTTGGAAAAAAGTCAACCTTCAGGTCATATCAGACCAATTTTCCTGTGTTGACCCACTGCCTGGGGAGCACCGACACTGCGGTGGTCGACTGTAGACAGAACACCTTTTGCCACACCGGGCAAGCGTTGCCTCCAGGGGGGCAACCTCCACTACTGAGTGCGGCAGGTGAGACTGATTCTCTAAGACATCATTTTAATCAAGACCCGTAAAGGAGCGTACTCTCCACAGAAGTGCAACAAGCAAAGAAACTCTCCCCAAATAACCTTATATTTAGTTGTTCTGAAAAGCCAATTAAGTAAAAGTTGAAGGGGCATTCATAATTCATATCAACTGTGAACAAGAGTTCAAAAGAAGACAATAAAAAAATCTGCCAAATCAAAAATAAAACCTAGGTGTGCGGCATCACTGTGACTCAGGGAAATGGGAATCCAAATCACAGTGAGACCTCAGCTCACACCAGCTCTTGTCGACAACACAAGACCTAAGATGAGCTGGAGTGCGGAGAGGTGCGGACAGGGTGGCCACGGGGATGCAAATCACAGCCCAGGGAACAGACTCAGTCTGCCGTGGTAACTGTGCCCGGCCAGGTGGGGACCAGAAGTGTCAGGGGACCACTCAGTGAAGTGTGGGCCTGTCTAACCGCGATGCCGTGCACCTGAAACCAATCCAGAGTAACATTGAATGTAAACTGTAACTGGAAAATTGAACAAAGAAAAAGAAAACCATATATATACTCACACATCAGGAAAATAGTATTATTTTAAAAAGTATATATTTGCATAGGGAAATCTTTAAAAATACATACAACAAAATGTTAATGTTAGTTAACTCTAGGTGGTAGAATTTTTTACTTTAGAAATATTGCTTAGTTTTATCTTATCATATGTCTGCAAACATGCTGTACTTGTATGATGGAAAAGAGAAAGCAATGAAGCACAAGGCTTTTCTCTTTAAAGATGTGTTGGCAAGGATGTGGAGAACAGAGAACTCCTGTGGCCGTGTTGGTGGGAATGTCAACTGGTGAGCCACTGTGGAAGGCAGTGAGGAGGGTTCTCAAAAATCAAAAATAAAACTATCATACGGTCCAGCAACTACACTTCCGGATATTTATCCAAAGCAAATAAAACCACGGTCTGGAAAGACACCTGCACCGCCTCCCCATGCTCACGGCAGCATTATTCAGTCGCCAAGGTGCGGAAACACACTGAGTGCTCATCGATTGATGGGTGCATACATTTGAGAAAAAATATATATATAAAGGAAATGTGTGTGTATATTTATGTAAGGAGAGAATAGTATTCAGCTATAGAAAATAAGAAAATCCATGTATAATAATGTAGGTGAAACTTGAGGGCACCGCGATAAGTGAAAGAGGACAGAAAGCAATATATGGATTACCTCACTTTAAAAAGTCAAACTCAGAAATAGAGAGTGGAGCAGAGGTTACAGGTGCTGGTTGGAGGAGGCGGTGGGGAACATGTTGGTCAAACAGTGCAAAGTGCCAGTTACATGGTAGATACTTTCTGGGGATCTGATGCACAGCATCGTGATTACAGTTAACATTATACTGCAGGCTTGGAAATTGGCAAGAGAATAGATCTTAACAGCTGGCCAGTATGGCTCAGTTGGTTGGAGCATTGTCCTATAGACCAAAATGTTGCGGGTTTGATTCTAGTCAGGGTGCATACAAGAAGGCAACTGATTAGTGTTTCTCTCTCATATCAATATTTCTCTCTCTCTCTCTTCTCTCTCTAAAAGCAATGAAAAATGTCCTCCATTGAAGATAACTTTAAAATTACATATGTATACACACACATATATATGTATATGTATATATACACACACATATACACATATATGTATATGTATTTATATATAATCTAGGGCTGGGAGAATGAAAAAAACTGGTATACAGGAATAGATATTATTTCTATGTGGTTACTGTTAGTAGTGTTAATATTCTTCACCAATATTGACGACCCAGGCTTGAGCAGAGGTTCCTATTTAAATACTGAGCCTGGGACTGCAATCGAAAGGTTAACTCAGGATGCACCTAGACAGTCGGCCTGACTCTGACTTCTGCAGAAGGGATCCGTCCACCTTTCTGAGGCTCTCCCCTCCTCTCCAATTGACCTTACATACTCTACTCACCAAAAAAAAAATGCAGTAAGTTTTCCTAAAACAAAAAAGTTGCTCTGACAAACATCTGTGACACTTCTGACTGATATGTGACTATTCTGACCACGGCCCATCCCAGTAAAACTTTGAAATATAGAGTTTAAATGGAATTCTCAGGCTCTTAAACGACCCCCCCCCCGCCCCCGCAACCATCTGTCTGGCATCCTTGGGGAGTGGGGGGCGGGGATAGGGAGGGATGATGGCAACTGCACTGAGCACAGTGAAGGGATGGAGAGAAGGCTCACCTCACTGCTGAGTGAGGGCTAGTGGAGTTTGGGAGCCGCCAAGTTTGAGAGACTGGTGGAACATTCCAGAAAAAGTCTCCTGTAAGGAACAGGGATTTGAGAGGGAAGGGAACTTATACATCTTGAAAATTCACAGGTTATGGGTAAGAAAGCATCATTTTAGAGAGAATTTGAGGGAAACACAGAAACAATTTTTAAATGAGTTCTAAAAGAAAGGAAAGGGTAAAACAATAAACAAAGAAGTGAAAATAAGAAGAAAATAAACTCAGTGAGAGCCAGGAAGACAAGAGTTAGAAGAAAAAGAGAAGGCGCACAAAGTGAACTACCAGTTGATGCCTCTTCCCCCAAAGAGTCTGTACTGCGGTGCCGCCAAAACAGCACACCCAGCCGCCGCCATCCTGCCTGAGCTCCCACGTGTCCTTAACCCACAGAACTGCAAGGAAGCAGTAGGTAGTGTTTTCTTTGCAAACTTCTTTTTAAGAATGTGCCTGCCTGGATGGGTGGCTCAGTTGATTGGAGCATTGTCTCGTACACCAAAAGGTTGTGGGTTCCACCCCCAGTCAGGGCATGTGCAGGAGGCAACCAATTGATGTTTCTCTCCTACCACCCCACCCCACTCCCACTTCATCACCCATCCCCCTTCCTTCCCTCCGTCTCTAAAGTCAATAAACATATCCTTCGGTAAAGATTTTAAAAAGTAAAAAATAAGAAATGAACCAGACTCAAAGGATTATAATGCCCCTTTCTTTATGACATAAAAGCCATGCATTTCATAAATCAACTGAGAAAGAGAGAAAGCAGGATGAAGGGAGAAAGAGAGAGATGCACCAAGAAGGGAGACAGGGAAAAGAGAAAAATAGGAAGTAAGAGAGAGGAGAGCATGGATATAAAGACAGTTTTTATCCTCATTTTTAAAATGAGGAAATAGAAACACAGAGAGCTTAAGTGACTTGGCCACACCCATAAGTGACTGAGAATAAACTCTCTTTCTTCTCCAGATTCTGCAGACAACACCTTTAAGAACTTGTAACAATTATAGGGGTTATCCCACAGACATAGTTGAAGGTTTGGAGAAGTTGCCAAGGAGTGATGGAAACATAAAAGTCATGTTTGTCCTCTTAACCTTGTCTCTTGCAGCCAAACAGGAGGTAGAAGCCATGGAAGGAGCAAATGTAAGTTCCCCCAGCACAATCGTCCTGTTGGGCTTCTCAGATCGCCCGTGGCTGGAGATGCCCCTCTTTGGAGTGGTCCTGGTGGCGTACGTCCTCACTTTGATGGGGAACAGCTCCATCATCTTTCTCTCCGCAGTGGAGCCCAGACTTCAGACCCCCATGTACTTCTTCCTGGACAATCTCTCAGTGCTGGACCTCTGTGTCACCTGCACCATTGTCCCCCAGCTGCTGGCCAACCTCTGGGGACCAGACAAGACAATTGCTTCCTGGGGGTGCTTCACCCAGGCCTACCTCTTCCACTGGACAGGGTGCACTGAATGCGCCCTGCTGGCGGTAATGGCCTTTGACCGCTACGTGGCTATTTGCCGGCCGCTGCGGTACACTCTTATCATGCGTCCCCAGGTGTGTGTACAACTGGCAGCTGCCGCCTGGTGCAGTGGCCTGGCCAATTCAATGCTCCAGGCCACGCTCACACTTCAGCTCCACCGCTGTGGTCACCACACACTAGACCACTTCTTTTGTGAGGTGCCTGTTCTGATCAAGCTGGCCTGTGGTGACACCACTGCTAATGACCTGTCCCTGGCTCTGGGAGCCATCCCCTTTGCACTGGTGGCCCCCTTGCTCGTACTCCTCTCCTACACATTCATTGCCAGGGCTGTGCTGAGGTTGCCTTCAGCTCAAGGAAGGTACAAAGTGATCAGCACCTGTAGCTCCCACCTGTTAGTGGTCCTCATGTATTTTGGACCAGCCATCTACATGTACCTTCAGCCTCCTGCCAATAGCACTCAGGCCAAGTTCATGTCCTTCTTCTACTGTGTAATCACCCCTCTGCTCAATCCACTTATCTACACCCTGAGAAACAAGGATGTGCAGAGAGCATGGAAGCGGATTCTGCAGCCCCAGGGAGTGGTCAAGTCCTAAAAAGGTTAGGAGTCATAAAAATCCAGGTAACCCCAGCCTGCCTTTTTGAACAACCATATACACAACTGAATGAATACAGGAAGGCCTGTGTTTCCAAATGAGAGCCTATGAGCTCCAAGCAGAGTCCCAATCTACCAACATCGACTGCCTTGATGTCTGGAGAAATGCTTCATCTATGACAGTTAGTGGTGGGGGCAGGTTAGGGGGTGAAGGAATTGAGCAAAAAGGAGAAAGGACTCATGGACGTGGACAACAGTGTGGTAATTGCTGGGGGGAGGAGGGTATAAGAGGACTAAATGGTAATGGAAGAAATACAATAAAGATTAAATTAAAAATTTAAAAAGAAAGAAATAAAAACTTTTTGTTTACTGAAGAAAAATTAAGGAAGACAAAAATAAATGGAAGCTTGTACAGTGTTCATGTATTGGAAGAATTAACATCATTAAAATGTCCATGCTACCCAAAGCAATATATAGATTCAACGCAATCCCTTGAATAAAATTGAATAAAATCCAATTTTGTTGAATTTTATTATTCAACAAAATACCAATGATATATTTCACAGATATAGAACAAACATTTCAAAAATTTCATAAACAACCCTGAATAGCCTCAGCAATCTTAGGAAAGAAGAACAAAGTAGGAGGGATCATACTACCTGACCAAACAGTCTGGTGCTGGCAATGGAACAGAATAGAGAGCTCAGAAATAAACCCATGTCAATATGGTCAATATTTGACAAAGGGGGTAAGAACATAACATGGAATAAAAATAACCTCTTCAATGAATGGTGTTGGGAGATCTGAACAAGTACATGCAAAAAAAATGAAACTCAACCACCAACTTACTCCCTACACAAAAATAAACTCAGGGACTCAGAGCAGATAAAAGCTTTATATATAAGTCATGACGTCACAAAAGTCCTAGAGGAGAATAGAGGCAGGAAATTTTCAGATACCCCACACAGCAATATTTTCACCAATACAACACCTAGGGAAAGGTACAGAAAGGAAAGAATAAACAAATGGGACAACCTCAAACTAAAAAACTTCTGCAGGGCTAAAGAAAACATCAACAAAATGAAAAGTTAACCAACCGTATGGAAAAATATAATTGCCAATGTACCTCAGACAAGGGTTTGGTCTCCAAAATATATAAAGAACTCACATGACTCCACACCAGGAAGACAAACAAAAACAATCCAGTTAAAACATGGGCAAAGGATCTGAACAAACACTTCTCCAAGGAGAACATACGGAGGGCCATAGACCCATGAAAAAATGCTCAACATCTTTAGCCATCATTAAAACCACAATGAGATACCACTTCACACTGGTCAGAATGGCCATCATAAACAAATCAACAAACAATTGCTGGCGAGGTTGTAGAGGAAAGGGAACCCTAGTGCACTGTCGGTGGGAATGCAGACTGGCGCAGCCACTGTGAAAACAGTATGGAATTTCCTCAGAAAACTAACGTTGGAACTGTCTTTTGATTCAGTGATCCCACTGCTGGGATTATACCCTAAGAATCCTGAAACACCAGTCCAAAAGAACTTATGCACCCCAATGTTCAGAGCAATGCAATTTACAATAGCCAATTTACAAACAGCCTAAGCGCCCATTAATAAAAGAGTGGATCAGAAAAGTGTGGTTCTCTTTTTCGCAATAGGGTTGCTGCCAGAACACAGGTGTCGAGAAAACCATCACTAAATCAAAGCCAAAATGGGAAAGGAAAAGACTCACATCAACACTGAGGTCATTGGACACGTAGATTCTGGCAAGTCCACCACTCCTGGCCATCTGATTCACAAATGTGGTGGGATCAACAAAAGAAGCATTGAAAAAGTTGAGAAGGAGGCTGCTGAGATAGGGAAGGGCTCCTTCAAGTATGCCTGGGTCTTAGATAAACTGAAAGCTAAACGTGAGCGTGGTATCATCATTGATACCTCCCTGTGGAAATTCAACACCAGCAAGTATTATGTGACCATCATGGATGCCCAAGACACAGAGATTTTATCAAGAACATGATGACAGGCACATCTCAGGCTGATTGTGCTGTCCCAGTTGTTGCTGCTGATGTTGGTGAGTGTGCAGCAGGCATCTCCAAGAATGGGCAGACCTGTGCTCATGCCCCTCTGGCTTACACACTGGGTGTGAAACCACTGATTGTTGGTGTTAACAAAATGGATTCCACTGAGCTTCCCTACAGCCAGAAGAGATACGAGGAAATTGTTTTTAAAAAGTCAGCACCTACATTAAGAACACTGGCTATAACCCTGACACAGTAGCACTTGTACCAATTTCTGGTTGGAGTGGTGACACTGTTCTGGAGCCAGGTGCTAACATGCCTTCATTCAAAGGATGGAAAGTCACCTGCAAAGATGGCAGTGCTAATGGAACCATGCTGCTTGAAGCTCTGGATTGCATCCTGCCACTAACTCATCCAACTGACAAGCCCCTGCATCAGCCCCTGCATCTGCCCCTGCAGGATGTCTACAAAATTGGTGGCCTTGGGGTCGAATGGAGGCTGGTGTTCTCAAACCTGGCATGGTGCTCACCTTTGCTCTAGCCAGTGTTACAACTGAAGAAAGTCTGTTGAAATGCACCATGAAGCTTTTAGTGAAGCTCTTCCTGGGGACAGTGTGGGCTTCAATGTCAAGAACATGTCTGTCAAAGATGTTCTTGTCATGGACAAGTGGCTGGGGACAGCAAAAATGACCCACCAATGGAAGCAGCTGGCTTCACAGTTCAGGCGATTATCCTCGACCATCCAGGCCCAGTCAGTGCTGGGCATGCACCTGTTCTGCATTGTCACATGGCTCATATTGCATGCAAATTTGCTGAGCTGAAGAAGATGGATCGTCGTTCTGAGAAAAAGCAAGGAGTTGGTGTTCTGAGAAACTTTGAGGAGATGGCTCAAAGTTTTTGAAATCTGGTGATTTCAAACCATTGTTGATATAGTTCCTGGCAAGCCCATGTGTGTCGAGAGCTTCTCTGACCATCCTCCTCTGGGCCACTTTGCTGTTCGTGACATGAGACAGACAGGTGCTGTTGGTGTCATCAATGCAATGGACAAGAAGGCAGCCGGAGCTGGCAAAGTCACCAAGTCTGCTCAGAAAGCTCAGAAGGCTAAATGAATATTCTCCCCAACACCTGCCACCCCAGTCTTAATCAGTGGTAGAAGAACGGTCTCATAACTGTTTGTCTCAATTGGCCACTAAAGTCTAATAGTAAAGGACTGGCTAATGATTACAATGCACCATAAGACCTTCAGAAGGAAAGGAGAATGTTTTGTGGACCATTTGTTTTGTGTGTCTGTGTGGCAATTCTTAAGTTACTAGTTTTTTAAATCAGTACTTTTTAATGGAAACAATTTGACCAAAATCTGTCACAGAATTTTGAGACCCATTAAAACAAAGTAAAAAAAAACCAACTGTGGTTCATTTCCGTAATACTATGCAGCAGAAAGAAGGAAGGAACTCCCACCCTTTGTCCCATCCAGCATGGATGGAGCTGGAGAGCATTATGCTAAGTGAAATAAGGCAGATGGTGAAAAACAAATACCATATGGTCTCATCTATAAGTGGAACCTAGTCAACAAAACAAACAAGCGAGCAAAATAGAACCAGAGACATGGAAATAAAGAACAAACTGATAGTAACCAGAGGAGTGGGGGAGTGGAGGGTAACGGGGCAAAGAAGGGGAAGGATCAAGTCAAGGAACATGTGCAAAGGACCTGTGGGCATGGACAATGGTATGGGGAGTGGGGAGTGGGTGTTGGACAAAGCAGGGGAGAACAATGGGAGAAAAAAATGGTGACGACTGTAACTGAACAGTAAAAAAAGAAAACTAAGATCCCCCTCACAAAAAAATGCTTGTTTTGAAATCTCACAGAAAGCCATCCTGCTCCTCCTGACTTTTCCCAAATGTCTTGTTCTCAGTGGAAAACATAAACCCCCACATCTACAGGAGGGTAAACAACATGGTCATCTCTCATTTTTTCTACCACAGCTCATGTTTACCAGGTAGCTGCCAAAAATGTTTGCTGCAAAACTTTTGTACAGATCCCAACAATATTTTTAAACAGGACTTCATTGGAGTTATCACATCTGCTTCCTACCCAAACCACTTTCCTGCACTGTCTTTGAGCATCTCAGGTGTTGTCTCCTGTCTCAAACACCACATACACTATGACTCCTCCTGTTCTCATTTCATCAATGCTCTCAGCATCTGTCTTTGGTCATTCGTCAAGATAGTCATTTCAACCGTCTTGTAACAAATTTCTTTCTCACACTTCATTTATGACATATTATTCAATATATCTTCATACATATACTGGTGTATGTATGCTAATATCTAGCTTTCTCTAATTTCTCTATATTGCTCTGTTTTTAAGCATTAGAGACAGCCTTCTTCTGCTGTATATCTATTGATAACTATTAGTCTCTAAACACCTAAGACATATCTAACAGAGCAGTGATTAGAGGTTTGAACTAAGACAATTAAGTACAAACATGGTCCCCACTTATTAGGAATCAAAAAGGCATGAGAAAGGTAATCCTTCTCTCCCCCTCTTGCCCATGTGAGGGCACAGTGAGAAGGTGGCTCTGTGTCACCTAGAGCTTCCTGGCCAGTAGCTCATCTTGGTTTTCCAAGCCTCCAGAACCATGAAAAATAAATGATAGCTGTCTAAGCCACCCCATCTATGGTATTTGTCATGACAGCAGGAGCAGACTTCAACACTCCTTATACACAGACCCTAGACACCTTTCTCCCTTACAGCTGGAACAGAGCCTATATCCAATCCCAGAGCAGGCAGGGAAACCACTCCCAGTGGGGATAAAAGAAGTTTCAAAAAATGACGTTCAAAGTCTTACAATTAACCACTGGGGAGCTGAGCAGTACATTGGAGGATGTTCTGACAGTGAGAAATAAATGAGAGGACAGGCGCGTCTGTGTGACAGGTCACTCGGCATCCTGATGGCCAACAGACTCTGG